AACCGCCCTGCTCTGGTCATTACAGGGGGGAGCGCCCCAACTCCCCAATCAGTCCTGCTCTGAGCCTGACCAGGGGCTGCACCTAGGGATTGTGCCTGCCCTCTGCCACCCGGGAGCAGGCCTAAGCCAGCAGGTTGTTATCTCCCGAGGGGTCCCAGACTGCGAGAGGGCACAGGCCAGGCTGAGGGACCCCCCCTTCCCCCCGAGTGCACAAATTTTTGTGCACCGGGCCTCTAGTGAATTATAAAAGAAATACTTCCATGTGATGCTGCATACAGAGCTAGCTGTGACATTTTATAGATTTGTCAAGTTCTGAGGAGACACCCTTCCGGAAGAATTCATAAAGGTTGGCAGATATGTTCTCAGCCAGAACTGTTGTGTGTTTTGTGGGGGGCCGTGGCTGGTGAGGTGTGGGACTCACATCCTGGTTCCCACGGTTCAGGGCTTGCCCAGCTTCCATCCGGGCTTGGCTCAGTAGGTTCGCTCAGGCTGTCACCTGGCATTCCTTGTTCCTGGGCCACATGCAGTTTCTCTTCAGCCTGGTGAGTGGCTGCTGCACAGCCGGACCTCGCCCTGCCTCCGGGCCCCACAGGGCTGACACAGGGTGAATCGCAGGGCCTCAGGCCCAGGCCGCTCTGTTCTGAGCCAGTGGGTCAGTGGTCACTGTCCACGGACAAGCCTCAGCAGTGCCTTCGCCTGCGGGAGGTATGGGGTGGGGGTGGGGCTTGTATTTCTGTGTGTGTTTTCTCTCTCCTGTTTGAAGAAATGTGTGTGTGTGTGTGTGTGTGTGTGTGTGTAGAGCCAGTTTTCAAGAAAGGTATTCAAACAGTCACAAAAACAATGTATAGATACGTTGTGGTTACTGGTTTCTTTTCCAGTAGGAGCAATGCATTAAAATTCACTTTAAAATAAAATGTAGCTGCCATGCTGACATATAGTGGCCCGCAGGCTCTGATGCTAGGAAGTCATCCTGTTGCTCCGCCGTCCTGACAGCTCTAAACACGTGTGGCCTGGTTAGGAACCTGACTGAGCCACAGACTGTAGGCCAGGGCTTCGACTTCCCTTCCTCTGCAGGGACGGCGCTGAGAGAGATGATTATGTCCTGGGGACCAGATGGAGGTCTGTCTAAGAATAAACTCATTTCTGGGGAAAAGGCGGCCGAGGACCCAAACGGACAAGCCTGCCGGGCGCGACGTGTGATGTCACTCTACCGTCTTAACCATTTACTTTTCTTGACTGAACTGTTGGAAGTTACTCAAGGTCAAGAAATATAATACGTTGAATCACTTTTAACACTTACCTTCGGTAGCACTGGGCACCCACGTTTGTCAGGAAACAATATAGTTCCTGCCCTGCTTCCCTCACAGAATTTTTTCGAGGATCAAAGTGGGAGCATGGAGTCACGTTAACTCTAAAATGATAGAGAAACTCCTTGTCATCCACACAACATGTCTGAAGAACAAGCCGGGGCAGGTACTCTTGCCTATACACGGTCAGATAGGTCGACACCCAAGAAAGTGTAGTAAGACCTTGGGGTTGTGGAGGGTGTCCACAGAAGAGCTGAGACTGGGAGGCGCTCTCTGGTTGGCCCTGGTGTCATATTGAGACAACTGTACATGTCCTTCCGTGAGCTGTCTGGCCACCTGGAGAGCTGAGGTTTGACTCTGTGGGAGTCGCACTCCTAGAGAAGGTGGGAGCGGAAGGATTGAGAAAAGGTTGGGTGGCCCCTGACTGGGGAGGGGAAGAGCATGCCCCCCTCTGCAGAGAGGGACGAAACCAGGGCTCTTGCCCAAATCCAAGGCATTGCCCATGAGGTGGGGGCTCACAAAGGGTGTGAGAGGCAACCACAGAGGGAGGTGAACTTGGGAGTATTTTGGCGAAATTTGGAGGAGAAAGGTCATAATATTTTAATCAGCACGGATGTAATGAGAAGTTAACTACATTGATTCCATTACTATTCATTGGAAATAGGTATGGAAATCTACTTACTGTGTCATTCTATTTCAGAAAATATTCCTCTTCACCCTTACTCTCGGTCTGTTCTCTACCCTGGCTCTCCCGCTGGTCCCTGGCACTGGCTGCTCTTTCTACCGGGTTCCTGGGGCTGCACCTGCGCCGGTTGGGAGGGTTTGGGGGGAGACATGGTGGAGGTGAGAGTGCTGAGCCTAGTGACTACCATCTAGTAAAAAGTGCTTGGAGTTTTTCTCAAGCAAAAAGCAGATGCTGTTCATTGTTCACTGGTCATCTTCATGAGCCCCTGAGGGCACAGGGCTTTGCTTGGCATCTGTTTAGACGGGGAAGGATTGCTGTCCCTGGGTGAGTAGGTGAGTAGGTGAGTAGGTGAGTAGGTGAGTAGGTGGACGTTCTCAGGAAAGACCTGGAGGAGACTGTGATTCATGGACAGCGCCTGTAGCACAACTTGCTTCCTTGTTTTCCTGGATTCTTTAAAAGCCAGCACAGCTCTTCGCCCTGCCTGCGTACACTCCTTCTCTTAGGGAACCACGCATGTGTACTCACGAGTAGATGGCTTTAACCTTCTAAAACAGAGGTCCGCCGTCTCTCCCCTGCATTGTGTTCCGTTTTGTTTGGAAGTCATCTAGACGAACATTTCAGCCCAGTTTGGCCTGTTGCCATCCAGCACAGTCTGGGCCCTGGTGCCTCATCCTCCGTCGTGGATACATTGCCTGGGAATGAAGGCGGAAGCTCTCAGCACGGCCTGAGAGGCCTTAGAAAGCATACCAGTGCCAGGAGTAGGCCGCATGCGAAATCCCACCCGACATCCAAAATACTTTAAATTTTGAATTATTTATCTTTTAAGGATTTATGTAATTTACAAAGTTGATTAAAACTTTAGATGGGTGTTTAAGGCAATTGTTTTGTTTAATAAACGATAGACTGAAGAAAACAGTGGACGTTATTAACCAACAAATAAACAGCCTTTGATACTGTGGTGGAAAAGCAGAAATTATGCTCCCGTTATCCGAGTGCCAATGGCATTAGCGTCTTCAGTGAAAGAGAATTTAGAGAGGAGGGTGCTTTTTAAGGATGGGTAGATGGGTATTCATTTATTTTTAGTAAAAAACATTTTTATTGCTTTTTTAGAGTTAAGAGTGCTGAACACAGTTTCATAAATGTAGATTTTCATGTAAAAATCTATAAAACTGTAGTTTTCTTGGTCATATATAGTCATGCTTAAAAATATTACCTCTGACTCCCGTGTACAGTAAAAGGGATGAGGAGCCTCTAGAGAAATGCCTGGTTTGGGGTCCGAGGCAGGAAATGTACAGTGCAGGTCCGGAACACGGTGTCGTACCGGAAAGCAAGGACATTACCAAAGACTTCCAGGACCTCGCAGGACAGCTCGGAGCCAGCCCGAGTTCCCCTCCACAAGCTGATGTCAGTAGAGAGAGAAACGGCCTGGACTGAAGCATGTCACATACGTTTAGGTCCACGAGTGCATTATTACACTTCAAAGATAAAACCCTGGTTGTTATCTTTGGAAACTATCAGGGAACTGCCTCTTTATTTTGAAAATTCCTAAATTAAGGAAAAGTACCAGGCATCTTTCCTGCCTTTCTTATATGATTGGTACCTCAGGGGGAAATTTCTCTTTATAGAGTTACTCCAGCTAGAAGGTCAAGAATGAATAGCAGACTGTCACTTGGAAGTCTCTAAAGAACTGTTAGGTGTAGGCAGATGGCACCCACAGCTACGGAATCACAGGAGTCAGTCAGACACCGTGTGCCTGCTGCTGGGAGCTCGGACACTCAGTGAGGTAGTCTTGCCACCCGGCCCCTCAGTTAGAACTTGAGTCAGATCAACCTTTAGATCCAAGTGCCTGTGTATAAAACACAAGGGCCACAATCGCATTGTAAGGTATAGAAAGCCCAACAACTATATTGCACACCTGAAAGTCATATAGTATTGTATACCAACTCTACTTAAAATTTTTTAAGAGTTAAAAAAAGAATACAGGGAACAAAGGAATGTGTTAAATCACACCAAGGGGATGCAATGAGCAGAATCCAGATTGTGGGACCTCTACAAGACAACCAGCCCAGTTCCTCCCACAGTGAAAACACTGCAAGGGAAATATTAGAGATGGAGACGAAACCTATAAATAATGGGAACCTAAAGTGGCAAATGTGGAGAATAGAAAGAGGAGAAAGGGCTTGGCCAGAGCAGGGCTTCCACATCCTTAGCGTGCTGCCTGGGACGCCCACCTTCAACGGATGTCCTGCTTCTGAGTTAATTTTGTCCTCGCAGGCAAATAAACATGTTTGTTTGTTTGTTTGTTTTCTAGTTGGGGAATGGCGGTCAATGTGTATTCTACCTCGATAACCCAGGAGACGATGAGCAGACATGACATCATCGCATGGGTTAATGACATCGTATCTTTAAACTACACGAAAGTGGAACAGCTCTGCTCAGGTAAGACCATCTTCTCAGGGTTTACCTAACGGTTCCCTGTCGAGTGGAGTGTGATTTCATGACCCACAGCTGGTGTCTTCGCGGCAGGAGAAGTGTGTCAGCATTGCCCTATCACTAAAGGGGAGAACGCGGGTGTGACTAAGGGTGTTGGCGGGACCGGCCCTCGAGCATCTGAGAGCATAAGCCATCCCGAGGCAGCCTTTGGCTGATGCAGCCTTTGGCCGGGCTCGCTGGAGCTCTGCGCTGCCTCCTGCCTGGTCTTCGGCCTCCCCTCTCCCATCCCCTGCCCACCACCACCACCTGGTGCTGCAGTACAGATTGGGTCTTGCAGCTCTCTGGTCCCTAAAAAGCTTCAGGGCTCCGTGTTGTCCTCCCCTGGGGATAAGATTCAAACTCTCCCCGCGGCTGAGAAGGTCCTTTGTTCTGGCTGCAGCCCCTCTCCTCGGTTTCACTGTGCGCACCTCTCCCCTGCGCCCCAGCCCCCCCAAACACTTTGTTCCCTGAAGACTCTCTCCCTTCTGCAACCCAGAGCCCTTCCTTACGCCTTTTGCTGGGGTCTTTCCTCTTGCTGTCGTGTTTGGTAAAATCCCATTCGCATTTTAAAGTCTTCTGGTCGTCGCTCCCCCTGCAGGGCCCCCTGAGACTCGGCTCCTGCCCTTCCAGAATAAAACGCCCCGTGCATCTCACTGAACTTCAGATCGCCACCCCGCCACCGGTCAGGTCTTCATTGGGCTGCTCTTGCTGTGCATTCTGGAGCTCCCTCACATGTTATTTTTAATTTGCTCCCCAAAAACCCACACAACTAGCACAGGTCCCTCTGTGATCAGCAGTCCCTTTGCTAATCGCGCATACCGCTTTGTATTGCAATGAATGCGCATCTTACCCACAGAGCGGGTGTCTGTACATGTGGATAAGGGGGATGGAGCTGGTTATCAGAAAAAGAGGCACAGGACAGAAGAGGGCGAGGAAAAGAGTCCGAGAGGAAATTCCCAGTCACGGTTCTTATGTTAAAAGAACCCTAGGAGCGTCCTGTGCAGGTCAGTGGGGAGGTTTTGCTAGCAAATGAGGGGTTTTTCTTAGACAAATAAAATGTTATGAGTAATATACATAGTTTCTTTGCAGATCTTTCAAATTCCTCCAGCCAGATTCACCAGAATGTTAAGCAGCATTTGTGAAAGGTTCTGAAGCAAGGTCTGTACGGTTACCTTAAAGTAGGCGTTGGCGTGCGTTTTGCAACCATTCCCAGCCGCAGTGCTGCCAGGTGTGGCTGGAGGAAACCTGTAGAAACACTTGATCTCTGCTGAGCAGAGAATTTCCATTGGGATGGCTCACTGGCTACCAGAGACTGCAAGGCAGACAGTCCGAGAATAGAGTTTAGATTTAGAGATACCTTTCTGCTCTGAAATGTGTTTTTGCTGGGAAAAAAAAAAGTTTGTTTGTTTTAGGCAATAGTTTCTTTAAAGTCAAACCTTCCAAGTGTAAAAGTTATGCATGTATGCCCTCCTGGGAGCTGCTTGGAAATGCAGATTCTTAAGCTCCTTGACCTTCTTCCTCGGTATCTCTGGGTGTGAAGCCCACAATCTGCATCAGAACAAGCCCTCCCCCACCCCCAACCCCACCCCCACCCCTTCCTGTGTGCTGACGCCAGGAGCTCGCAGTGCATTTCTGAGAAAACCCAAACCACTGAGACTGTAGTTAAATTATCCAGAGCCCTACCTGGCGCAGTGTCCTTATCCATAATTTAGCCTGTGACTTTTGTCTTCAGCGGTGGCGTTTAGCGGGAGGGTGCTATCTCTCTGTTTATTTATTTATGAGTTTATTTATTTATGCCTCTCATTGTTCTAGAAGACATTTAAGGCAGCCAGGACAGTGCTGTTAGGATGAAAACAAAACCAAATACTGTCGATCTAAGTGATTGACCCTCATTATACTTCCGAATAGTCACATTTCTTGGGTAATATATTCCCCTCAACTTTTATTTCAATTCCTCTATTATTTTTTTTAATCTTTATTGTTGAAAGTATTACGTAAGTCCCCCTTTCCGCCCTCCCCCACTGACCCCTTCTAGCCTGCCCCTACCCTCCGCCCCAGGCCCTCACCACCCTACTGCCTGTGTCCATGGGTTATGCGTATAAGCATACAAGTTCTTTGGTTGCTCTCTTCTCACCCACCCCTCCTCCCCCACCTTCCTCGTGAGATTCCACAGGTCTGTTCCATGTTAACTCCTTGCCGTTGAAATGTGGTTGTATTTTAGGAGGTTGCATACACACAACAGCTTCACCTGTTGAGACTGACTTTCTTCCTTGTTCCACACAGTTATTTCCTACTCTCTTTCTGAAGACTTAGGCTCTAATTCTGGCAGCCCCCTTGGTTTTTTTTCTGTTTGCATTACTTCCTATTTCGTTTTTCATTTCCAGCTAAGACAGTGGTCGGCAAACCGTGGCCCCTTGAGTGTGGCTCTTCCACAAAATACCACATACAGGTGCGCATGTACAGTGTGATTGAAACTTCGTGGCCCGTGCACAGAAGTCGGTATTTTGTGGAAGAGCCACACTCAAGGGGCCAAAGAGCCGCATGTGGCTCGCGACCCGCAGTTTGCTGACCACTGAGCTAAGAGATCTCCCTCCAGCTAGTAGTAACACTAACTCAGCCTTTCTCTAGTTCATAAAAAGCTGACCTGATGTGTCCACATTTGCATTCCATTTCCTTCAGAATGCCCTGCCTTTATAATAAATAACCTCCCATGTGTTTCTAATGTGAGCATTTTAAAAACTCTTTAAAGGGAAAATGGTGTGAGAAGGTAGGACACTTGGGAATACATTGCAGTAAATTGTAAAACAGTGATGCACTCTTACCTCCTGTTATTTTATCCCAAGGATATCATCTTATGAAAATTTTCTTTGAATGTTAAATCTGCATCAGATAATCATATATGTATTTGGTTTGTGTTCAACTTTATGTCTGGTGAAAAGCAAGTTCAAGCAAAAAAAAACACTGTATAAATGGAGAGAGACTATCAGTGGGAGTGAATACCACCTCTACCACAAGGTATACTGCTCACCTGAATCTGTTTTGAAAAGTAGTAATATTTTTGAGGTTTCCCATAGTGGAATGGGGGGCCTAAGCCACGTAAACTATCACATTGGCTCTGCATAAAAATATTTCACGTTTTAGTTGAATCGTTTATAAAATGTATAGGGCCTTTGGAAGGGTGGGATGTTCTGTTGGACTTTAGTATCAGCCCAAACCAGTGTACTGAGTATTTTATAAAGTACTCAAGAGGGAGAAAGGGCAGCTCGGTTCTAAAAACCCCAGAAAGCGGCTTTAGCAAGATACCTGTTTTTGGAGGTGATAGAAAAGGTAGTGAGCAGTGTGGCGAGGAAGCACAGAAAGGAATGGGGAAGGGGCGTCTGAGGGAAGCAGAAGAAACATACAATTTCCTGTTCCTTCTCACCCCTCATCTCTGCCCTAACAAGCTTTTGGTCCACGGCTGGGTCACTACCAGCTCACTTGGCCAGCGAGCACCTGACCATCAACCCCCCCACTCCCACAGGCGGTGCAGACCACCCCCGCTCTGGGCCGCCTCCCCTCCGCCCACCCTCCTGCATAGGCCCAGCAAACAGCTGACGGCCCTGTCACTGCCTGGTGAGCAGCTCAGTTATTGTCCTGAGCATTTTAGTATTTTAATAAAATGTCATTTGAAGTCAATCATTTTTAGATGGAACGTTAGGTATTTTCTTAACTATCTTTAAAAAAAAAAAGACAGGGAAAGTATCAGGACTGAATTCCATTTCAACTTGTGCTTCTCCTAATTGTTTCAAGCTTTGCCTTGGGCCAAATTTCTGGTCTTTTCTTCTTCCGGA